GGGAGTAGCTCAGGGTTGTCCTAGAGTTCCCTCGCCTGATTGTAAATAGTGTATATAGGTATGCATGTGTTTTTTGCTTAGTTTTAATTTTCTTATTTTTAGGTTATTTTATTTTATTTATTGTATATACTCTTTGGTTATTATTTATTGTTATTTTGCTTTTATTTATTTTATATTTTTGTACATATAGTATGAATGTTATCCTACCTCACTATAACTATTGTCCATGTGACAGATTGTTGTGATACTAAAAAATTATAAAAACAATAAATAAAAAAAATTATTAGTTTGTAATAGGAGAATTGGTTATAAAGACGATCTTTCGTTTATTTGAATGTTTTTGAAGGTATGAAAATCAGTTCCTTATGAATTAGTAAACAGATTTATGTTTCCTTAAGCAGTACACTTACTATTTTTTTTATTTTACTTTCATTTTCAGGCGAGGATTTCCAGAAGAAAACGGCTCTTCCGACAGTTAAAGAAAATTGGAAAAGCCTAGTACATTTTTAATATTTTGTATCAATATTATGACGAAATAAACTTTTTTAGTAGGAAAATTTGTTCTTTTGTTTATTTAAATGAAATAATTAAACTCCCATATCACTGTTTATATTATAATGATTAAAGTTTAAACTCTGAGTTTATATTTTATGGAAAAGTTTAAATAATATGAAGTTTTTAGTTATTATTATTATTTCAAAATCATTGTTTACACATAACCAAGACATGATGAAACCTTTCCGAAACTTGATCAAATATGTTTGTTTACACGTAAATAAAGGTAGGTATTTTGAAGACCTAAGAGTTTGTTTATATTTTAAGGATCAAGGGAGTCAAAGTTTATGTTTACGCGTGAAGGAGAACAATAAGCGATAAGAGATTACAGGTCCAAGTCCTTTGTTTATCCTTAGATAAGGATTAAGAAGTTGTTTACAGTTTGAGGATTAAAGGGGTCAAAGTCCATGTTTATATGTGAAGGAGAACAATAACAGATAAGAGAATAAATGCTCAAGTCCATTGCTTATACTTAGATAGGGATTAAGAAGTTGCTAACAATTTGAGGATTCAAAAGGCCAAAGTCCATGTTTACGCGTGAAGGAGTAAAATAAGAGATTACAGCTCCACGCCCATTATATATGATCGGCTTTACATAGAGTAAGAAATAATAAATAAAAATAATATATATTATTTTTGAAAAATAATAAAAACATAAAATGTCAAATATCTCGAAAACGGTTGGTTTTAGCACAAAAAGGACCGAAGGGCTCTAGGGGTGGTTAGGTCCTTATCATTATAACCATCATACCCTATTGTTGGGATATAGGAAGAAGCATCAGATTTGTCATTATGGAAAAAGTAACCATTAGGGAAGTTATAAAAAAAACAAAATGGCGGACAAAGTTAACCGTCTCTCAAATTGCAGGTCACCTGACTCTGAAAAGGTAAACATTAAGAAGGTTATATAAAAGATAAACATTAGGAAAGTTACCGGAAAAACATAATGGCCTAAAAAACCGCCCGTCTCTCAAATAGCAGGTCACGTGACTATGAAAAGGTAAACATTAAGAAGGTTATATAAAAGATAAACATTAGGAAGGTTATCGGGAACACAAAATGGCGGACAAATCTTCCTTCTCTCAAATAGCAGGTCCCATGACTAATCACGAGACTGAAAATGCAAACATTAAGGTTATACAAAATATAAACATTAGGAAGGTTACCGGAAAACAAAATGGTGGACAAAGTCAACATCTCTGAAACCGCAAGTCACGTGACTGATCACATGACTCTGAAAAGCTAAACATTTAGAAGGTTATATATAAGATAAACATTAGGAAGGTTTATATATAACATAAACATTAGGTAGATTACCGGAAAAACAAAATGGAGGCTCGGCTTACCATCTTAGAGAGGAGTGGGGGAAGGAATGTGATCGTCACAGGATCAAAAAGGAGCGTAACGTCATAGAAGGTGCAATCCTCCTAAGTACTTTAAAAGAAGATGGGGGACCAGAATGAAAACAAGATGGCGGCCGGACACACTCAGCCTCTTGGACAAGAGCGAGGGGGGGGGGGGAGTGGAGAATGTGGAAGTCACACGATCGAAAAGGGGCGTTGGCTAGTGACATTACATAAGGAGAAAACCTCGTAAGTATCCGGAAAGAAGATAGCGAAAGGGCACACTCAGTCTCTTAGGGAGGAGGGGGTTAAAGGTGGGAGGCGCATGAACAAAAAGGGGTGTAGTTCCGTGACGTCATGTGAGGCATAAACCTCGTAAGTATCCGAAAACAAGATGACGGCCGGGTACACTCAGCCTCTTAGAAAGGAGTGGGGGGGGGGTAAAGGTCGGAGGTTCATGATCAAAAAGAGGCGTGGCTAGTTTGTTAAGATAGGGATAAGGTATAAAGTGGCATGGCCTAAGGGTCAGGTGGTGGTTAAGGCTGGTAGGAGGTTGGAAAAGGCAGCATGCTGTTCAAATTTGACTTCCCGCCATGACGACGTCACTGAAATCCTGGCTTCTGATTGGCTGCTCTATTTGGTGGCCCAGTTCCTGCAAATTTTATCTACTGTAGAGATCTGTATATGGAGTCCGAAATGGTTGTGGTGAAACAGTGGAAGTCGAGATTGAGCAAGAGCGATTTTTGTGGTCTTTTATAAGTTTGTTGATGATATAGGGAGGGAAATTATTATTTAAAAGGATCTTTTTGATATGTTGGATATTGGGTAAATGAAATTGGGAATTGAAGAGGGAGAGACTTCGGTGGATGAGATTTTTAGCAACATAAATTTTTTTGTGATTAGGATTTTTCCTTGTTGTTCTTTCTCATTTTCCTTTAATTTAATTTTTGTTTTCTTTAATCTTGTGTTTTATGTTTATTTCAGTCATACTCCATTTTTATTTAATATTTCTTATTTATGATCTCTGATCTTTGCACTACACTATCTTCAGATTCTCGTATTTTCATTCAATTACACATTTATTTAGTAAGCCTATAATAAACCTATCAATCATTATATACCTTTCTGTTCTTTAGTTCACGAATTTTTTTTAACCACTACAGAGGGTGCTATATAAGTTCCACTGTTTTCTTTCCAAATAATCTTGTCTTATGGGAACCTCTCATGAGTCCATTGATTTTTTTTTCTCATAATTTCCTTATATTATTATTATTAATATTTTTTTTTCATAAGTTAATAATTTCTCATATTGTTATCGGATCTTTTCTTAGCCCTGATGAAGGCCTGAACTTTTGGCCAAAAAGTTGGAAAATATAAAAATAAATATCATTAATTTATTTTTAATTTTTATATTTTTACTGAACACCCCAACCAACTTCTATTCAATTATTTTTAATAATATTTACAAACAAGTTATTCATTTTTAATTACAATAACTGAAACATAAAATATGATGAGATGGTAGGAATCTTCTTGAACAACATATGTTCAAGTCGTCTTCTCCATCTAAGAACTGTTTTTACAATGAAACTTCCGAATTACATACAAGTCAGGTCAGAGTTAGGAAAAGTATAAGGTAAGGCACAAATTGGGACCTGAGTGATATTACATAACTTTTAAAGTTAATTTACATTTATATAAATTTAACATATAAATTATTATTTTGAAAACTTAACTATACCCATCATTATTTTCGAATTATTCTGTTATTGGTAATCAGTAATTGTTATGATTTGTGGATTATTTAGGCTAATGAAGCAAAAGAGTTAAATAAATTCAGAGAGAAATAAAAACTGTCATCAGCTTTAATAATTTCTTTAATTTAAATTATTTAAATTTTTTAAGTAGTCATATTGGCCAGCAAACAAAATAAAAAGCACTATTGTTATGCATATTATCAAAATATATTTAAACAATAAAGATAAAAAATATAAAACACAAAAAAGCTAAAGATTTAAATGTATTATTACTAACATGTATCTGTAAATTGAAGACAAATAAAATATTAGAGAAATTAGGGGCTTCAAACAATCCAAAGTAGTTTCTATAATCTAATATTTTATTCACATCACTTTGATTCCACAAGTCTACAAGAAATATGGAACCCAAAATATAAAGAAATTAACAACAGAAAGCATAAATTATAATAAAATTTCTAAATATAACATAAAAAATAAGAATTCAACAAAAACAAAATTATTTTAATAAGAAATTAAGGTTTTTATAAAATTTCTATACAGCATAGATATGAAATAATCCAGATTTAGTGAACAGGGCAAATAAGTAACCAGAAAGGGTGAACACAGAAAACAAGCTACTAATGTTCTAAATCAACAGCAATTTCTATATTTTTATCAAAGTTGAAGTAATAAAAGATATAATATTACAGGTGGTATTTACTATGATGCCCTTTATATTAAATTTTAGATTCTTAGATTAATCTCACTATACGGACATATAACAGTTTTGCATAAAAAATATGAACATTCTTTAGTATAGGAAAACCTTATTTAAACCACTGATAGTTTAAAAATCACAATCTTGTAGATTGAACACTTACAAAGTAAAAAATTCCTTTTTTAAACAACTTAACTTAAGGAATGCCAGTTTCTATTTTAGTTATTAGGTTTTTTGTCTGTTTGTTTTTTCTATAAGGCTATAAATTCAATTCCTATTTCGATTATTTTTTTTAAAGTCTATTTTTATAAAACATATATACTAAATAAGGTAAAACTGAGCCTCACAAATTGTAATACTCATATTTTAAATGAGCTAATCATATAAATAAAGCCAAAATTTTCAATTTTGAAATAGTATAAAAGGTTAGATAATGAAAAACTATATACAAAACAGATAGAGATAATTAACTAGAAAAAAAAAAATCAAATCTAGAATATTATAATATATATATATATATATATATATATATATATATATATATATGTATATAACTAGGTTTTGTACTACAAGCTTCATTGAAAATAAAAATTGATCTGTTTATGACAACAAAATCATCAATAAAAATAACATATCACAATATTAATATAAAGTTCAATAAAAAAATAAATAAAAATAATTTGTGTACATTTAATATAAATTAAAAAGATCCATCAATTAAGCTTAATATTTTAAAAAAATAATGCAACAAAAAATTAAGTTGCTTTAATTAAAGAAGTGTCCTAAATCTATGTTATTATTCCTATACATTTTATCAAACAAAGTATTTATACACAAGTCTTGATGCCATGTTACAGGCTTGGAACACATTTATATAAACAATCACTTTCTTAAACTGTCTTTACTACTAGCAAGGGATGTACCGGCACTGCTACCTTGTTCACTGGATTCTCCATTTACTACCCGACCAGTTGATCTGCGACCACTTGATCCTAACTCTTCTACAGAAGTAGGAGTCAAAGGCCCTGATCTAATTTTCAGCTTAGCAAGCACCTTGTCTAGGCGATGCACAAACAGATCAACATCAGATTTCTTCATCCCTATACCTGCAGCAGCAGTTATGTATGGACACGGTGCATTACTATGATGTGCTCCCCATCCTATAAGAAAAAAAAAATCATTAACTACCTATACACACTTGGTGAAATTTATAACATTATGCAATATAATGATTTGCTTATTCAACAGCAAACTTTTTTTCTATTTTTTTTTATTCCCAGCGAATCCATAGACGGCTAGTGTGACAAACTTTGAACTTTTGGTTTCGGAACAATATCGCAGAAAAGCTTTGGAAACGAAAATCTTATAAATTAAAGAACAGCAAAAAGATAACAGAAAGAGGTTGAAAAATTAGAGAAAGAGACTCCAGCTCAATGGGAATCAGACATCAATGTATGGTGGTATGCATTTCAAGATTATTCTCTCTGCGGCGGGTAGGACATGTGGATATGATGGAACTAATGTTCTTATAAGAAGGAAGCTATTGTGGTCACAGGAACAGAAGAAAAAAAAAAACTATGGAACATTACATTACCACAAAAAATCCTACAGATTATGAATCTTATAAGAATGATAGGAAGATAAGTAAAGGCAGCAGTGATCCATGCAAAGAGGAAAGCATGAGAGGAATTTGGAGAGAAATTAGAGGCCAACTTCAAAGAAATCAAAAACTCTTCTAGTGTGCTAAAATCCATCCGGAAGGAAAGAGAGCAAGTCCTAAAGTTAATTAAGGACAGAAATAGAAAACTTCTGAATAGAAGCAAAGAAATAATGGACCAGTGGAATTTCAAAGAGCTACTTGGTGAATCGACACCCAAACACCCAAGAGGAGAGAATTTGGGAGGAGGAGGATTTTATAGATGGAGAAGAGTTGGAGGAAGCACTGCAAAACACGAAGTTAGGAAAAGAAACAGGCAGAGATAGTATATCACCTTCAATGCTCTAATACATGGGGATACATTAATTTAATCTAGAGGAAAAAAAAGAATACCAGAAAATTGGGAAGTTTCAACCTTTGTCCCGATTTACAAAAAAGGTGACAGATAACAGAAAGTGTGAAAACCACAGAGGAATCTCTTTACTAAGCGTCCCATGCAAGACGCTTGTGTTGCGGCCAACATGAAGAATAGTTTAATTTCACATTTTGTTTTAATAACACTGCATAAAAACATTCTTATTTATTATATGTGTATTGAAGGAAGCTAGTCGACTGTTCTACATATCATGGGTGATAAATATTCAGGACGCAGTCAATACTTCCTCCCATTTTGTAGCTTCCGCCATCAAAAAGTGGGTGGTACTCTCCATGTTCGTCAAGCTTATCCCCCTTGTCGGCGATGAGTTCTTTTAGTGCCTCTGCGTGTTCGCGGTCAAGCATGGCTAGTGGATAGTTTGTAGGAACCACCGCAACCAGCTGACCTCCCACTCAAGGCTGAGGCATATCTTTTGTTTACCAATTCTTCCCATGACTTTTTCTTGGCCTCTCGAATAACACGCCTGGTATCATTCCTCCACTTAACATACTGTTCCCAGTTCTATGGCTTACGGTTCATCAGGTATGCCTTCCATGCCTTTTTCTTTCTGTGTATTATTTCTTTGACCTCTTTGCTCCACCAATTTGTGCACTTATATCTGGTGCTTATTTTCTTCACTCCACGTACTGACCTTGCTGATTCAAGTATGCTATCTTTTAGAAACTTCCAGATTTCTTCCACAGTCCCCTTATGGTGTAACTTTTTCAGCTTTGCTTCCAGGCATGCCTCATATTCTTGTCTTTTCTCCACCAAATCAAGGGCTTTCATGTTAATCTTCTCATATACTTTGAATGTCATGTTTCTAGGCTTCATGATCTGTGTGTCTGCGACCAAAAGCAAATGATCCGTGTCTATTTCAGCATCTCTGGTCACTTTAATACCTGTGAACTAGCATCTGATATCTTCTTCAAATATAAAGTAATCAATAACACTGTTTCTTTCCTGTGCTGAAAAAGTTATTTTATGATCCCTCTTATGGAGAAAAAAGGAATTACCAATAAGCATGTTATTATCAACGCAAAAATCTATCAATCTTTGCCCATTTTCATTCTTTGTCTTTTCACGATTCCATGCGCATCTCTAAAATTCCATCTGGTCCTTGCATTGAAGTCTCCACAACAGATAATATTCCTATTCATCCTTTTGAACTTGTTTGTTATTCTTTCTAGGTCCGAGTAAAATTGTTCCTTTTCTACCACAGAGGAATCTGGAGTTGCAGTATAAATTTGTACTATAGTGATTTTACCGGAAGTTAGCTGGAAATTGGCTGTTATTATCCTAGGCGAGATGGCCTCCCATTCTTCCATTTTCTTGTGTAATTCTTCCTTAATAACAAAGCCGACTCCTTCTTTAGCATGTTTCCCTTTAGGGTCCCCTGAATAAATGAGAGTGTAACCTTATCCAGACGAACTTCTCGAATCCCTTTCCTTTTCCTCCACACAAGAATGTTTATCCTGTATTTTATGATCTCCTCCATGAGTTCAACTTCCTTACCCACAATGGTCTTCATATTCCAAGTACCAATTCTCAAGTTCTTTTCCCTGCTATGCCAGAACGACTCTATTATCACCTAGGGGAAGTGACCCTAGGGTATGTATTGTTATTGTCCTTAATGTCAGTATAAGTGTCTCGTGTACTATTGTGGTGTGAGGTGTGTGCGATCGTACTGTACTGGGATACCCGAGGCTGTGTAAAACTCCATTAATTGTGCACAACAATTAACCTTTGCGGGTGAATGAAAATGCAATTAATTTAGAATTGATTTAAAAATGGTACAGAAAAAATTTATATATAATTTTAATAATCATATTTTTATATAATACAAAGAAAAAAAGAATATAGTGGAACCAGGTTTTAACTGGGGACCTTCACCATTTCAGAATAGTACGCTAGCCACTACACTATCAGAACACTTACAGTAGAAAGCATGAACTAGCATACAAGCTGAAGTTGACCTCAATGTGAGGTTTTAAAAACACGTAAATAATGTTTTTTATTCCTACTTATTAAACCTGGAGACCCATGGAGTCAGAAATGTCTTTTAAAGGGGCGCCACTCACCTTAGAAATGCTCTTTTAATGTTAATTATAATAAAACAGATCCCCTCCAGCTGGCCGTTCATAGTATGTTCTTTAACATCACTGTGGTGCAGTTGACGGAAGTCCTCGTGGAGGATAACAATGTCCCAGATATGGGAAGTTCCCGTCACAACTTGGGAGATGAAACCTTGGGTTTTCCAGGAGAAATAGTGACGAGACGAAGGACCTTATAGAGATAGTTCTACATGCAGCGCCATACTGGCTTCTTTTCTCACGTCATGTCATGTGACACGAGGATAGGCGATTTGTGCCGGAAGTGACCGAAAACATCACTAGGATGCTTTTTTACATAGAAAATATTTAATGATATATAATTATACATATAATATGGGTGATAAATATTCAGGACGCAGTCATTATAATTTTTTTTTATTTGTGCCAACATTTCAACCCAAAATGTGGGTCATCATCAGGGCGTGGTTCAAGCACTGAAGGCTTTCAAGTACTCGGTTGGCACAAATAAAAAAAACTTTATAATGACTGCGTCCTGAATATTTATCACCCATGATATGTAGAACAGTCGACTAGCTTCCTTCAATACACATATAATAAATAAGAATGTTTTTATGCAGTGTTATTAAAACAAAATGTGAAATTAAACTATTCTTCATGTTGGCCGCAACACAAGCGTATATCTTGCAAGGGACGCTTAGTAAAGAGATTCCTCTGTGGTTTTCACACTTTCTGTTATCTGTCACCTTTTTTGTAAATCGGGACAAAGGTAGAAACTTCCCAATCTTCTGGTATTCTTTTTTTCCCTCTAGATTAAATTAATGTATCCCCATGTATCAGAGCATTGAAGGTGATATACTATCTCTGCCTGTTTCTTTTCCCAACTTCGTGTTTTGCAGTGCTTCCTCCAACTCTTCTCCATCTATAAAATCCTCCTCCTCCCAAATTCCTCCTCTTGGGTGTTTGGGTGTCGATTCACCAAGTAGCTCTTTGAAATATTCTTTCCACTGGTCCATTATTTCTTAAAGTAAAAGCAGACTATCTTCCTATCATTCTTATAAGATTCATAATCCATAGGATTTTTTGTGGTAATCTAATGTTCCATAGTTTTTTTCTTCTTCTGTTTCTTTTTTTCTTCTCCAAAGGAATCAAAAACTCTTCTAGTGTGCTAAAATCCATCAGGAAGGAAAGAGGGCCAGTCAGGGTGCAAGAATCATCATTTAAAAAAAAATTATTAGTCCATTTTATGACTAGCAAATGGAAAAATTAATGAATTAGCCTGCACTTAATTAAATGAGAATCTATAAAAACGAAAAACTTTAATAACAGTGATGCACACAGAAAGGTAACACTATTTCTGTGTCACATAAATATGTGAAGGCTATGGCCAAATTGCGACTTCTGCTTAGTTTAAAAATGTCTTAACTTACAAAGAAAAAAAGAACCAAGTGAACGGATTTATGTCACTTTGATTTACTTTGAACATTGTAGTTTTAAAAGCAAATCTATCAATCAAAATTTGTTCACTAATCTTTAAAAATCCAGAAACCCTATTAGTCCATCCAAAAATAACTTTTTTTTTCTATTTTCGTCTATAAACATTGCTTCCTATAAAAAAAAGTACAGAACCTGAGTTTCCTTTTTTTTTAAATTTATTCCAAAGCAAAAAATATATTAAAATGTTGGTAACATACTATTTTATGAGGAGGTGATAAAATAATCAAATGTTTCTAGAGTTGTTATTTATATCCAGTGTTCAACCAAAAAACTAATGACAATAATAATAATAGTGAACAAGAAGATGAGACAGCGGTCATAAAAGACTTAAAATAGTGAAAAAAAACTATTTTATTTTTAATTTCATTATTTTTAACTATTTTTTCACTATTTAAGTCTTTTTATGACTGCCACCCTGAACCAATAATATGCTATGGTCAATCATCGAGTATTCAATAATAATAATTCCAAATTGCGTTCTTCTAATATTATAAAAATGAAATTTTTTTTCTTTTACTAAATTTAACATGAAACAATATTTTTACCCCATTTTCAAAATTCAGCAGCAAAATACTGTGTATTGTTTGTTTTTGTCCTATTTTATTTAATTGATGTAACCTTTGAGTTGTATCTTTTATTTTTTAACAAATAAATAATTTTATTATTTATAAAAGACTTTAATATTCCATATAAAAGACTCACTGTCCAATAAATAAATCACAACTTATAAATAAATTTTTAACAAATAATTCAAGGCTGTAAATGATTGTTTGTAATCAAGAAACTGTTTCTAGGCATAACCTACTTTTATTAATTTAATTTTTCAGTCTAAGGTTCAATTAAATATTCCTTTGTTAGAAAATAAATATATTTTTTTATTCATCTGTCTAATTACTAATTCTCCTGAATAATTTATTTTTTGGTCAGAAGTAGTTCAAGTCTGGAGGGTACTGGTGCTCTGCCAGAAAGACTGATTGCTTTAGCTAGTTAAAAGAATACAATAAAATACTACTATTTTTTGAAAGGATAAATAAAAATAAATACATTTAGTTTAGAAGTGCCCAACTCTGTGATAATGAACAACTTAATTATTATTTAGTATTCAAGATTTTTCAAGAATTAGCTTAAAGTTATCATTTAATACTAATAAAACCAGGAACTTACCATCAAACTGATATGATGCAACATCTTTGTGCTCTATTCCGGTAATACATCTAGTACCAGTTACATCACGCAAAAATAACATTGAACCCAAAAGACTAACCCTCTTTGAGTCAGTAGCTGAATTTACAGAACTCAATGTCATAGCTAAAACAAGTATAGGCAAAAGTCATTAAATATAAATGAATAAGGTCAACAAAAAAAATAATAATAAATGGAAGAATTGGATAAATAACAAAAATAAAAATTTAATTTTAACTCATTAAAATGCCTTTCAGGTTTATGTTTAAATTTGATTTTTAATGATATTTTAAAATAATTGCAATGACATAAATCATTCTGTTTCTAAGAAATTCTTTTTATTTTCGAGATTCACTGGAATATGAGATTTATTTGTGAAATATTACTATCCCTGCACAAGATGAAATTCATTTACCAGGTTATTGATTTTTTATTGGGTTAATATAATGTTTAGAGCAAGAGAATATTTAAAAGATGAAGATAAATTAAGAGGAAGATAAATGTAAGATCATATGAAATTGTAGATATCCTTCCTTATCCTAACAATCCTTATTTTGATGGATAAAAGCACAATCATTGTGCGTCTACCTTTTTATAAATTCAACTTTTGCAGAGTGAAGTAGTGTTATGGAAATGAACTATTGTTGCAGTAATACTCTATGTTTTTATGTGAATATGTGTTTTTTCTTATAATTTCAATCCTGTGAATTAGAGCAAAATATACAAAAACTAATTAACATAATTAGATTTACCACATTTTTATCTTCTACAAGAACATGCACTTTTGAAGTTCTTAAGCTGTTAACTGGATAAAACATGCGACTGATTGCGAAAACATAAACAATATGCTCGCATATAACCATGCAAGGATTTAATAGATAAGAACTACGTTAAACTTCACATGTTTAAAATTTTATGGTAAATTTCCATGACGAAAAATGTTGTCATGCCCATTGCAGTAGTAGTTCATGTATGACGAAATATTTTGTCATACTCAGTTAACAGGTTAAGCAAGCACACAGATGTAATGGGACATAAATAATTGTGTTTTAGCCATCAATTTATTTATTTCAGCACTACAATCCAGTGACAACTCCAGGTCTCCGCAACCAGATTTTAAGTCCAAATAATTGTTCGGATAGCAGTATCCTTGGTATCCTTGTGCCACCCATTTCGTCCACATGACCAGATCAATATCAGCTTCTCTGTTTATTTTCTCCTCGTATCCAATGGACCACTTTTTAATTACTATATATTCTTAAATATTTACCAATTTTTATACTCCTTTTGATGATTATTTATTATTTCATGTTGATAAAATAATTTACAACTTATGTTTTTTGTGATAAAATATTCAACAAGAGAAATAGTTTCAAAGTCAATATGAGATCAATAAGATGATAAATATTTAGTTTTCCTGTACCTCATTCATTCAAGATTATTTGGCTTTCCAATTTATTGTGAAGTAAAGATTATTGGAGATACGGGATATGGAGAGAAGTTGAGTGTTTTTAAAATAATAATAAAATCAAACTAATTATCATATTAAAAATACATCTAAAAATTTAATAAAAAAAACGTGACAATTTTAACAGATAAAAATACTTGAAAGATATTTAAATAATATTTACAAAATTGTAGATTATAATCTCTAAAACTTTTTGCATTCAAATCAAGGATAATATTGCATCCAGTGTGTTTATAGCTATCAGCCAAATATAATCTTCGTTCTAAACAAGCCAGGCACTAGAGCAAAGATTAGATGCACACCAGACATGTTGTACGCAATCTTTAACTCAAGTCAGGTCAGTCAAATATGTTTACGAAAAGCCGCCTCATCATTAAGCATTCAATCTCAATTAGACAAATTGGTTTTAAACTTTATTATAAATGCTATGGTTCCCTTAAAAGTGGTTGAAGATACCAGTTACTCCGAAAACTTTTGACATTTTTGCATACTAAACAAACTGATTTGAAAATGATTAGTCGGCGATCTCTTGCTAGGAAACTTGATACAATATTTTCACAACACATGGATAACATTAGGAAGATGTTAAGACAAGTTCCTTATGTTTGCACGATAGCAGATATTTGATCTGGGGGGAAACTAAGTTTTATTGGCGTCACCGCTCATTGGATTGATGTTAAAGGCAGAAGAAAATCTGTAGCATTGGCTCTTAAACGATTCTCGGGCTGCCGTACACATGATAAAATAGCTACCATATTATATCAAATTCATAGTAGTTTTGAATTGTCCACAGACAAAATCGTGGCAACCATCACAGATAATGGCAGCAATTTTGTCAAGAGGAAGATGAAGAAGAACAAAGTGATATATATGTGGATAATGACGGCGATAAAGAAACCGAATCATGGGTGGCAGTTGATGAAATTGTCACGGAAAAATTACCCTTCTATTTGAGGTGTGCAGTCCATACTCTCTCACTTTGTGTCAGCTCTGACATACCAAGGATTATAAAAAACCACCCCGAGCTCAATCAATTACATGGTACAACTTTGAATAAGTGCAATGCTGTTTGGCGACTGTTAAAAAGACACAAAATTGCTGAAATAATTGAAAAAATATTGGGAAAAACACAAACCAGACCCACTGAAACTCGTTGGAACAGTCTCTATGACTTATTAAAAGATATTTTTGGAATTCAAAAACACATAAGCGAGTTGCAAAAACAATTGAGTATAAAAGACTGCCTAGGTACAGAAGAATTTCTGTATATAGAAGAATTTTTAACTTGTGCCAAGCCATTAGCTGAAGCAATAGATATATTAGTGTGAAACCAATGCGTATTACCGTTTATTTTTGCCAACTCTTTTGGCATTAAGAAAAAAATTAATTAACATGACCCGGTTAGATTTAAAATTTTGTAAACCTATCGCAGAAGGCTTCTTAAATAGCGTTGAGCGACGTTTTACCAAAATTTTAGATTTCTCCACTACTGAAGGGAAAAATGCAGCAATCGCAGCCCTGTCTTATCCTAAATTTAAAAGGAAATGGTTTCCATGCATTAATAATTGGGCCCAAGATAAGGGGCATTTAAAAATATAACATTTACCAGAGTAAGTTCCAAATATATTAATTAATATAATAAAACGTATTACATTTTTATTTTTTAATGAAAAAAAATTGTAACAAATGATTAAAAAACAATAAAATACAATTTATGATATATATATATATATATATATATATATATATATATATATATATATATATATATAATAACATATATATTCAAATCTGTTCTGATTAGATCAATCCAAATAATGTTAACATATTCATAATTATAATTTTATGTTTAATAAAATTAAAAGTTTATGCATACATCATTTTGTGTTAGTAAATACCAACCTTTTTAACATTATTCCAAAAAAACGTAAGAGATTTATTTAATTAACTCCTCACTGTCCAGAATTTTATTTTAATTTTTGCATACTTTTTTGTCTAATTTTGGAAAATGCCTAAAGTAAAATTAATATTTATTTAATAAATAAGAGTATTCATTCATAAGGTTGTGTGAAAATATTTCCATTCACATCTGTAAATTTAAGTGTATTCATTTTAATAAACGTGAAAACAGCCGTATTCACTACTGCAACTGTCAATACAGCCGTATTCACTTTTAAAGTAGTGAATACGGCCTTATTTATATTATACATACAGCGTGGTAAAATACATATGTATATCTACTAGGCATTAGCTCAGTCATCTAGTCGACTCTTCCAATTTCCTTAATTGACTTCAGTTTACATAATTAGGACCCTCCTAAGATGTTAACATATACATAATTATAATTTTATGTTAAATAAAATTAAAAGTTTATGTATACATCAATTTGTGTTAGTAAATAGCAACCTTTTTAACATTATTCCAAAAAAATTTAAGAGATTTATTTAAATTACTCCTTACTGTTCAGAATTTTATTTTAATTTTTGCATAGTTTTTTGTTTAATTTTGGAAAATACCTAAAGTAAAATTAATATTTATTTAATAAATAAGAGTATTCATTCATAAGGTTGTGTGAAAATATTTCCATTCACTTCTGTAAATTTAAGGATATTCATTTTAATAAACGTGAAGATGGCCATATTCACTACTGCAACTGTAAATACAGCCGTATTCACTTTTAAAGTAGTAAATACGGCTGTATTTATATTTACACTTGTGAATATGCATCATCTGTATTCATGTTTCTTTTTATGATTATAAATATATTCATATTTATATTAAAAAATGCCATAAATATAAATCGTATTCATATTCATATTTTTTAATATAAATATGCCCATCTCTGGTCCAAACCTTACCATCTCAGATTCTTGAAATTCAGCAAAGTTTTACTATTTTTCAAAAATTGGAAAAATATGAAATTTTACTGAGATCAATATATATTCGTTTTTTAAATTAGACAGGTGCAAATAGCTCATTAATGGACTTAAAAATAGAGAAAAAAAACAAGATTACAAATTTTTTAAGAACCATTTCTAATTTGGCTAAAGATCTGGGATTCATGTCATTTTACAGCATTTTTATGATCATGCTCTGTTGTATGACATACAATACATAAGGTAATATATAACCAGAGCCCTCGAAAAAAAAGTATTGAAAGATTTAAGAGAAAAATCCTCAACACAATAACCAGAGTCATATGGGATCAGAGTACTAACACGTGGTGAAAAAAATCAATAAAGAACTGCTTACAGAATCTGGTCAATCAACATCCCATGATATGGAAGCATAATGGTTAAGATGGGCGGGGCATATAGCTCATAGCAATCCATCAGGTATCCTCTAAGTAACAATGAATGCAAAAGATCACACGAAAGACCAAAAAGAAGATGAATAGATAGAATAAACAAAGATGCAATAGAGCAGCATACAGATAACTGAAAGGAAATAGCCCAAGACAGACAGAGATGGTGTAGGCTTGTTAAGGCGACAAAAGATCTACATGGTCTGTAATGCCAAAAAAAAGAGAAAAAAAAGGGGGGGGGAATAAAGGGTAATATAATATATATATATATATATATATATATATATATATATATATATATATATATATATATATATTTTTTTTTTTTTTTTTTTCCAATATCCAATTCAAAAT